AATAAACTACTGATACACACAACATAGATGAGTCTCAAAAACATTACACTCAGCCAGACACAAAAGATTATATACTGTTTTACTTCATTCACACGAAACTCTAAAAAATGATAAATCTAATCAGTTGTAACAGAAACCAGATCATTGGTTACCTGCAGTTGGAGATGGGGATTGTCTGGGATTGATCATGACAGAACATTGTGGAGTGACAGAAAAGTTCAAAACCTTCATTATGATTGTGGTTACTTGGGTGAATACATGTTATCAAAACCTATCAATGCATACGCTTAAAATGGGTGCATTTTATAGTGGGCAAATTATCAACAATAAAACTGATTTTTTTTTTTTTTTAACACACTGACTGCCACACAAGAAAAAAATTTTTCCCCTGGGGTCACGTATTTTATTAAAACAAAAAGATCTTTTTTAAGGTGTTACTTTTTATTGTTTTCTGTGCATGTGTTATAGAATGCAATGCAATCCATGTTTTTAGAATTAAATTGTCAATATCAGTTGTAACAATAAGAACATCAACGAGTTAAGATTTTTACAAACCAAACTGCAGGGTTTTGCTTCATTAGGCCCCAGGTTCAGAACTAGCCTGAGTTAAATACAACTCACATGGCAGTCGATGTGTTAAAAACGGCTTTATCTTAGATCAACCTGTTCATAGGGCATTACATCATAATAAAGATTAATAAGACAAAACTGAATTATTACTACAAAAAAAAGGCAAGATGACTTTTTTAGGATTAGAATAATGGAAATACTAATATACCTAAAAAAATTTTTCTAAATTTCATTTTCAAGGCTGCATGGCACTATTTCCCATAAAGATCAAAAGCCCAGCTAAGGGAAGGCAAAATAAACCCAGATCTCGTCTTCCAACTTTTGATCCCAAGTTGTTGAAAGTGGCTGCAAGAAAATAAAATAACTGTCCCAACCAATAGGGGCCTCAATCTGACACAGCTATCTATTTATAGACACAAGTTAATTCCACCTCGTTTCCCACCCTAAAGCTATACTCTACCATTAAAGTCAGAAACAACTACCATTCCCATAATTCTCACCAAGCCAAGAAAAAACTGCTTTAGCTCCTGTCTTCTGCCTCATAACTCCATAGTAAATTCTCATCTTGTTACTACCTTTCCATCTCTTCAAAAGTATCCTCTCCTGTCTCCGTGACTGTACTCCACCATTATTCCCTCTCCTTTGGCAGAAATGTGTTTGTCTACACTGGTTCTTAACCTCCATCCTACAAACACTCAATATATGATCTTCCTATTGACCCTATAATAATCCTCTCTTCGGCTACTGCCCTTTCTATTGAAGTCAAACTTTTTAAAGAAGTAATGTACACTGCTATCCATTCACCCTTCAATCTAGTTTACCGCGGCATCCTCTGGCGAAAAGTGAAGCATTTTCTCACTGCCAAACACAAAAGCCTCTTTTCACTCCAGAACCTCCTCAGTATTTTTGCCACATCTGTCCCTACTGGTAACACCCCACTCCCATGGCTTTACAGATATTGACTAGCTCCTCCTTGCCTTCCGGTTAACTCCTGAGAAGAGGGTATCCCCACATAGTGTCAATGACTCTCTTTTCACTCCACTGATGCTTCTCTTCGGGCAACATTATTCACGCCCATGGCTTCAATGATTTATGAGCATAAAATCTATAGTTTCAGGCCAGGCGTGGTGGCTCACGTCTGTAATCCTAGCACTCTGGGAGGCCGAGGCAGGTGGATCGCTCAAGGTCAGGAGTTCAAGACCAGCCTGAGCAAGAGCGAGATCCTGTCTCTACTAAAAAATAGAAAGAAATGATCTGGACAACTAAAAAATATATCTATATAGAAAAAATTAGCCGGGCGTGGTGGTGCATGCCTGTAGTCCCAGCTACTCGGGAGGCTGAGGCAGAAGGATTGCTTGAGCCCAGGAGTTTGAGGTTGCTGTGAGCTAGGCTGATGCCATGGCACTCTAGCCCAGGCAACACAGTGAGACTCTGTCTCAAAAAAAAAAAAAAAAAAAGAATAAACTACTGATACACACAACATAGATGAGTCTCAAAAACATTACACTCAGCCAGACACAAAAGATTATATACTGTTTTACTTCATTCACACGAAATTCTAAAAAATGATAAATCTAATCAGTTGTAACAGAAACCAGATCATTGGTTACCTGCAGTTGGAGATGGGGATTGTCTGGGATTGATCATGACAGAACATTGTGGAGTGACAGAAAAGTTCAAAACTTTCATTATGATTGTGGTTACTTGGGCACTCACTCTAGCCCGGGCAACAAAGTGAGACTCTGTCTCAAAAAAAAAAAAAAAAAAAAAAGAAAGAAAGAAAAAGAAAAAAATCTATAGTTTCAGCCCTGATTTCTTCATTGCTTAAATGCTGTAACATCTGCATATCATGCTTTAAAAAAAGAACACAGTACAGCTTATGAGGTGCCTCACAGGCTGGTTTGAGCTGACTGTTACTATTTTCTGACTCAATCTATAAGTTATAACTCTCCAAAGAATTTTCTGTAAACATTTTTATTAATGTATGATGCACACATAGTAAAGTGCACATATCCTAAGCATATAATTCACAAATAATCATCAAGTAAACACACTCATGTAATCACCAGCCAACTTATAAAATATAAAACAGTAACACAGAAGCCCTCCTAGTCATGACTGATGCCTGTTAACTAAAATATCTTAAACTCTAAATACACTGGCCTATACTCCCTGTATTCCAAATATTTCATACACTTTCATTATTGGAACTTGTACCCTTCCCCTTCTCACAATAATTTCTATTTCTCTCTTAAAACCAACCCAGGTATCTTCCTTTGTGACACTAGCTCATTTCTGCTCACACTGCACTCGGGATGTATCTCCAATATAACACATTTTGTACTGTATTATGGTATCCAGATATTATTCACACGGCAGCCTTCCTGAGGGTTGGGGTAATAAAGCACCACTTCTGTGTCTATAGTAACTAGCCCAATGTTGCTATAAAACAGCTTATTCAATAAATGAGTTTTTTTCCCAGACAAATTTAAAAAGTCAAGCATTCCTTGGAAGAAGACTTTTTTTTTTTTATCTGCTTTACCTGTGCGACATTCATTGCAGATAAATTTTCCTCTTGGCATCTCAGTTAATCCAAGGCACTCCAGGTGGAAAGCCCCACAGCACTGAGCCTCACATAACAGCAGCTCACCCACTTTCTCACAGTTCTGTTAAGAGAAAGAACACAGATCTGCCTGTAGAAAAGAGTTTTTTTAAAATCCCACATGGAAGGCTCTTGTGAGAGTAAAGATTAAAAATTGGGCTGGGTGCAGTGGCTCCCACCTGTAATCCTAGCACTTTGAGAGGCCAAGGCAGGAGGATCACTTGAGGCCAGGAATTCAAGACCAGCCTGAGCAAGAGCGAGACTCTGTCTTAGCAAAAAAGAAGAAAAACTAGCCCGGTATGGTGGTGCACACCTATAGTCCCAGCTACCTGGGAGGCTGAGAAAGGAAGATCCCTGGAGGACAGGAAGTTTGAGGTTGCAGTGAGCCATGATGACGCCACTGCGCTCTAGCCAGGGTGACAGAGTAAGACTCTTATTAAAAAAAAAAAAAAAGAAAAAGGTAGTTTTAACAAGAAATCCCACCACTCACTGAACTAATATTTAATTATTACCTCCTCTATGCCAGGCACCACAAGGTCCTTGGTTCTTGTGGTTTTTATATTCTAGGGATAGAAGACACAACTAAACAATTAAACAAAAAGGAAAGATAACAGATAATGGTAAGTACTAGGTAGAGAATTCCAACAGCTACTTTGGATTGAGTGACTAGAGATGGCCTCGCAGACTTGGTTCTGAGCTAAGCTCTGAATGACAAGGCAGCCACATGAAGATGTGAAGGCAGGTACAGAGTCAAAGTACAGAAGGTCCACCAATAGAAAAAAACATATGTTTTCCTATTTTTCAATGTTTGAGAATCACGAGAAAAGCCAGCGTCACTGGACTAAAGTAAACAAACATTAGAAGTGGCAGAAAATGAGGTGAGAAAGAGGCAGGGGCCTGTAGTTGTAGATACTATCCTAACTGCAAAGGTGTACCATTGGAGAGCTTTGTCAAAGGAAGGCTAAAATCAGGTTTTCATTTTTAAAATGATCCCCCTGACTACTACTACATGGAAAATGAAAGGGTAGAAAATGAGAATAGAGCAAAGAGACAAACCAGGAGGACAGTGCAGTGGTTCAAGCAAGAGACACTGGCCAGCTCAGCTTAGGTCATAACAGTCCCAAAGAGCCCCCATCAAGGTCTCAACAGCCCTTTGAGACACGTCGAGAACCACCTCAGAAAGATCACCCTTCTCAGATGATCTCATCCAAGACAGGGAATCGCTTAAGACAGAGGCTTAGGAATAATGAGGTGCATCCTTTTTTAATTTTTTTTTTTCACTCTTCGCAGAACTCAGTCTAAGTATATGCATCTGTTGCTATGACAACATTATAAGATTTACGAAAATTTGGCAAAATTCCAATATGCATTACTTTTTATCAAACACCCTGACTTGAATTAGCAGAAAAATACTAAAGATTTTTAAAACCCTTATACTTACTATGTAAGGCAAGAAAGGGGAAAGGTCACTAAGCAAGTTCTATCTTCAAGAACTCGAGAAATAGAATAGGTCTTGGTCACTTAAAAACATCAAAGCTGAAATTTAAAAAAGCTTTAGGAAGAAAGGCTAGAGAGGCAGCCCAGGATTGAGAGAGGACCCCAGGGCCTTAATCTACCCATAGTCTGAGTTATTCTCAAATATCTGACTCTTTATTATCCACTATTCACACATAAAAATTGAAAAATGCCATAAATGTTATATATTTATCTTTATATATTCAGAGTACCAATGATTTAAGTGTTCACATACAGTAAACAAATTTATATTTATCACTTAAATAGGAAAATTTCAATTACAATATAAATTGAAGAATAAATTTCTGAAATTAACTAAATGTTATGGACTAACGCTTTAATTGGGATGGCCATATAATTTTACCTTTCAAACTGGGACACTTGAGAGTGAAAGGATGTGCTATTAATAAATTATGCCAGGACAAGAGATTGACACAAAGACTGATCCAAATAAGCCAGGATCACAGGGCCAACCAACCTTTAATCTTTCTTTGGAAAAAATGCTTGTAAAATATATTCACACTCTGACTTGTCTCACTTAGTACAAAATGGGCATACCTGTCTTTGAGAATTAACACTGGGAGCTGGTCGAAATATGAACAATTCTTTATAAAAAATAGTGAAAATGAAAAGTCAAAGAAACTGGGATGAAATTATATAGGCCACAATAACATCTTCTGGGACTGGGCTAATTTTTTTAGTTGTTTCAATTAAAAAAGAATAAAAAGAACTAATATCCCCAGGTTTGTATGCCAAATTTTAAGAATTTACATAGGTAAATCAAGACTGTAAAAAGGGAACATATCCAAAGCATTCACTCAGTTTACTCCCAAAGTCAGATGAAGGCTCTTTAACAAAGTGGAATCGAATCTCTCAGAAAGGCAATACAACACAATGTGAAACCCAGACTTCAAAGCTATTTAGCAAGCTATTTAGTCTCTCTGTAATTCAGTTTCCTCCTCTGCAAAATGGGGATAACAGAACTCTATGTTATGAGATTGCTATGATGACTAAATGATACAATATTCATGAAATGCTTGGAACAATACCTGACACATAGTAAATACTGTATAAATACTTATTAAATAAATTGGGAAAATATAGGTGATAGATTTTCTAAAGTCACCACTTTATTTTTTTTCTCATTTCATTTTATTTTATGCAGCTACACGTTCTGGATAAAGTCACCACTTTAAAGCAAAAAAACAAAACAAGACCAAAAAAATCTCAAAGCTAAAATCACCCTTGAAAATTTCCTTAGAAACCCAAAAATACTGACACCACAAGAAGCACAGAATTATGTTTGACTAAGCAACCACAGATTCAAAACTCCCATCTCAGACCTGTTTCAGGGCATATACTCATTCATGGGCTAGGAGGGTAGGTGGTTCATCAACACTAAGCTATTTCTCTTCCTTGCTTTTTTTTTTGTGGGGAGGGAAAAGAGTTAAATCTTTAAAGGAAGTGACTTCATTGGAATCATCCAAAATCATTTTTAATCTAACCATGATAAGGTCATCAAGAGATGGAGAGGGCTTCTTTTAAAAGACAAACATGCAATGAAAATACAAGTAGGCTAACATCCTCTACCTGGCAAACATTCTCCTTGAGTGCAGCTCCTCCACCGCGTTCACCCTGCATTTTTTTAGAGGCAGGCATCCCAGGGTCTTGTTCTACACCCTCCTCAACAGTCTCCTTGGGGCTTCCAGTCGTCCTGTGTGTCATTAGTTCTCCCTTGCAGAGAAAAAATAATGTCCGAAATCTGTATTATTGATGTCTCCTCCATCTGACCCCCTCCCTCTGAGCTGCTATTTGTCTAGCCATTAAGCACTTACAGATGTTCAGCCAATCACGCGGGCGGACTGCATGCAATGTTAGTTCTAACCCTGCTGTGATTGGGCGGGTAGTGGGCGCCTCATGCCCTGCCACTAACTGCTCTGAGGCTGTTCCACTGGAACTTTTTGAGCTGTTCCATTTTAAGGTTTCACTAAGGGAGAGAAAACATTCTTAAGTTTATTTGATTATTTATTTGTCCTTCCAAGATCAGTGTTTCCTAAATAATGCCCCCCTTGGGCATTCTATTCAAATTGTCCTGGAAAGAAACATTTTTCATCACAATATGTGATGCTGACCTAACTTACACTAATTCTCTTTTAACCTGAACTGGAAAGTCAGAGATAGCATCAATGATTGCACTGATGCTCTGCAAGGAAATCTATTTTTGTTTTCTGAAAGCCAATGTTTACAAACATTATCCAAAAATTAAGCAGATGATGATCTCAAGAAACAGACAAATGAAATTTTCCCCCTAATAGCAGCAGTCTCAACATTTAAAGGGCAATATTCAAGTTCATTCAGATCATATGGTTATTTGATATTGTGCTTTCTGGTTTTAGAACAAGTTTACTTAATGATGAAACAGTTATCTATTTCGTCTGACACCTGGTGATCTTTTAAAAAGGCCATACCCACAGTTCAGTATGTGTTTTGACTTATTTTTACTAGGATTAGGCTCTCCTTTTTCTACAAGATTCCTTACAGCAATTAGCCGTTTCAACAGAATACTATCTTAAGTAAACTCAAGGGAAAGGGGGAATGTGGCCTCTACGGTGAAAGGTAGTTTATCTCTGAAAGGCCGAAAGACCAAGAACTGAGTAGTACCTCTGAGCTTGGAGTCTCTTTTGATGAGTCGTCATTTTTCACTTTTTTACACTGCACCTTGGCTGTAATATGTCTCTGACGTTTTCGCTTCCTTGGTTTATCATATATCTTGGTAGTGCCTGTGACAGGAAAACAGATGTTACCTGTTGGCTAACCACAGACATCTAAGAACTGCTATGCTCAAATAAAGGGACCTCACAGAATTATCAAATGTTAGAGTAAAAACCAACTTTAAAACTCATTTAACTCTCCAGCTTTGTAGATTAGGAAAATAGTAGAAAAAAGAAAGGGGACTTACCCATGACTACATAACTAGTTGGGGGAATGACTACATAAATATAAATTGTGCCTCATATATATTAAAGAGTAAAGCAATGTCATTTAAATGATTGAAATGACAAACATTCTAGTTCCTCAAACAACTTAAATATCCTATAGATGAAGAAGAAATGCATTTACTAGTCAGGAAAAAATACCAATCCCTAATTCCAAGATTACAGACAATAAGACACATCACTGGGAGGCTGAGGTGGGAGGATTGCTTGAGGCCAGGAGTTCAAGACCAAACCAGCCTGGGCAACGTAGTGAGACCTCATCTCGAAAAAACAAACAAAAAAACCCACACACACTTGTTGACAAAAATTAAAAGGGCATGGTGGCATACACCTGTAGTCCCAGCTTCTTGAGAAGCTGAGGTTGGTGGTTTGCTTAAGCCCAGGAGTTTGAGGTGGCAACAAACTATGATACCCCACTGTATTCCAGCTTGGGTGACAGAGTGAGATTCTGTCTCTAAAATAATAAAAATTTTAAAAATTAAAAAAAAAAGACATATCACTATATGATGTAAGGATTAAGATGAAGAGTTGAAATATAGGGCCGGGCGCGGTGGCTCACACCTGTAATCCTAGCACTCTGGGAGGCCAAGGCGAGTGGATTGTTTGAGCTCAAGAGTTCGAGACCAGCCTGAGCAAGAGCGAGACCCCGTCTCTACTAAAAATGGAAAGAAGTTAATCGGACAACTAAAAATATATAGAAAAAATTAGCCGGGCATGGTGGCGCATGCCTGTAGTCCCAGCTACTCGGGAGGCTGAGGCTGCTTGAGCCCAGGAGTTTGAGGTTGCTGTGAGCTAGGATGACACCACGGCACTCTAGCCCGGGCAAAAAAAAAAAAAAAAAAAAAAAGAGTTGAAATATAAAAGATCTGGCTTATAGGAGAGGAGGAAGACATCCAGTGGTTTAAAGGATATTCATGTATTGCTGGTATATCACTGAATATCCAATAACATAAAATGAATGCACTGTCTCATCTGGTATATTAAGAACAAAAAATTCTAGTCCCCCCAAGCCCATTTTCCATTTACCACATTTCAACTCTTTGTTACAGAAACACCAAGAGAAATCTAAAGTGGTATTTCATAAAATATTCCAGGATATTTATGCTAGGTGTCAATACGAAGGCTGGAGTTCGGAAGACTGCCTCAATGATCTCTGTTTTGACTACCCAATTGAGATGGAGAAACTTTGCTATCAAAGTTGCTCACAGCCTATTACTAAAAGAAGAGATAATAGGATGGTAGCAGAAAGGTTCAAAATTCTCTGGAGCTGGAAAAACTTAGACAAAATTTACAATAGATGAAGTTTACACTGTAGGTTTTACAAAAAACTGAAATATAAAAATATAGGAAAAGAGCTTATATTATTTTGAAAGTGGTTTATTTTAAAAGCAAGCAAACAAATTGACCAACCTATGGGATTTTTACTGCCAACAGTTAACTTAAGCTAACGCATTGCTAGAAAACATTAGAAAATTTAATAATCATGGATCACATTAAAATTAGCGTGCATCTTAAGATCACATGAAATATAACCTTCCCATGATATTCTTTACTAACAGACCACATCTGGTGCAGTGTACTGAAATCTGGGATAATATGTCAAGAATATCATAAAAGAATAAATGGCACTGGCAAATGAATGAACAAAGTGGTAGACAGAACTGGCACGGAGAAAATCTGGGATGGATAACAAGACAGTAGGGTGGCAGTTAATTTGTCCAAGGCTGTATATATTTCCCTGATCCTGCTACCTTGATCATTTTCATGTTTCTTCTATCAATCAGGGATAACACAGACAATATCCTAACTCTTTGGAATGCTTTAGATGGATTAGAGGTTAACAGTCCTACCAAAAGAACTGGTAGAGTAGATGCTTTATCTATGAATATTGTATCTGTCATTGAATGAAGAGCTTCCCATGCCTCCTGAGGATAGAACCAAGATCACCAAGTAAAAATTCCAGGAGACAGATTCTAACATGATATGTAAGATTCCTAAGCCCTTATGAGACAACTAAAATGGAATAGAATCAAATGTAAGCTTTTTACTTTTAACCATATTCTAATTGACCAAAGGTCATAGATGTGATAAAAAAAAATAAGACTATTTGTAAAAGACTGGCTCAGATGATTTACAATTTCCCTTTCAACCCAGTTCCAAATTTTCTGTCCTATAGAAACAAAAACTGAATCAAAGCCAAGAAATTAACAAAGTAGTCTGAAGAGTTAGATTAGTAAGAAAATAAAAGAACTGGCCGGGCATGGTGGCTCATGCCTGTAATCCTAGCACTCTGGAAGGCTGAGGTAGGAGGATTTCTTGAGCTGAGAAGTTAGAGACCAGCCTGAGCAAGAGTGAGACCCTGTCTCTACTAAAAATAGAACAATTAGCTGGGCATGGTGGCATGTGCCTATAGTCCCAGCTACTTGGGAGGCTGAGGCTGAGGCAGAAGGATTGCTTGAGCCCACAAGTTTGAGGTTGCTGTGAGCCAGGCTGACGCCATGGCACTCTAGTCCAGGTGACAGAGCAAGACTCTGTCTCAAAAAAAAAAAAAAAAGGAAAGAAAGGGAAGAAGGAGGGGAGGGGAGGGAAGGGGAGGGAAGGGAAGGAAAAAAGAAAGAAAGAAAGAAAATTAAAGAACTGATTTTTCTCTATTGTTCCCAACACTTACTTACTCAAATATAATTAGAATTTCATTTAACTGATTATAGTATAAAGCATAAAAATGACAATAAAATTCTGTAGTGTTACATACAGTTTCAGGAAGCATATTCTGGCCAAATAGGTCTTAGAACTTGTCCCATACTGGTCTTGCTTACATACATAATTTTTCTAGTTAATGGACAAAGTGCTTCAAAACTTATTTCTGCTTACATTTTTAAATCTCAAAACAAAACAATAACAAAAAAAAATCAAATACTTACCTCCACCAAACTCTTTCAAATGAGATGTAGCACAAGATTCAGTAATGCCATTCTCCAAGTGACCAGCTTCATAACACTATAATTAATTAAAAAGAACATGGTTTGTTAGAAAATAAACTCTTCTTTATATGCAAAAATCTGAATTTTCTAGTGCCATAGATAAAGAATCCTGGCTGGTTGTGGCAATTAAAAGAATAGTATATTCTGCTCACTTCAGAAGCACATATACTAAAATTGGAATGATACAGAGAAGATTAGCATATATATATACATACATATATATACATACATATTTTTTAAAAGTATGATAATAGTAAAGGTTTGAAAAAAAACTTCAAGGGGAAAGGCATCAAATAAAAATATCCTCCAAAAGACTCATGCTCAGTTTTATTCCACCACACCCTTATATTTAAAATCCACCTTCCTAAAATTATATTTATAGCCATGAGATTTGACACACATTTATTTACCTGATGAATTCTGAATTAAGCAGCTCTGAAACAAGGAATGTCCTTCCAATCGAAGTGGTTACAACATTAATCTAAATTAAAGCAACATCAAAACTCAAAATACTCAGACATCAAGAGTCTAATCAAGAGCCTACACATTTTATTCGTCCACTACCAATACTTATGTGAATTAGTTCTATCCCAAGCAAATGTCTTCTCCTACAAGAACGATAATATTCTTTGCCATAACTGTAAAACAAAATTTAGATGCCATTCTTAGTGTAGAGTTCCAAATGTCTGAGACCAAAACATGAAAAAATACAGCTGTGAATTTTTCAATGTTCATTACAATATGTTAATAAATCAAAGAACAAAAAACTCTCCTCATGTTCAGTGTATATCAAAAGTCCTACCACATCAAATAAAATTAAGGGGCAAATGTTAGGTGGCCAGTTATATGGAACTCCTAGACAAACCCATAAAATAGATTTGCATAATTTAAGAAAAACAGCATATATGTTTAGATAACTGATGTATAGTTCACTGAAGTAGTCACAGTGGCTCATACCTGTAATTCCAGCACTTAAGGAGACTGAAGCAGGTGGATCATTAGAGGCCAAGATTTTGAGATCAACCTGGACAATAGAGTGAGAACCCGATGCTTCCCTCCAGCCCCGCCCTCACCAAAATTTAGCCAGGCATGGTGGTACGTGCCTGTAGTCCTAGCTACTCGGGAGGCTGAGGCATGAGGATCACTTGAGCCTAGGAATTCAAGATTATAGAGAGTATGATGGTGCTACCACACTCCAGCCTGGACAACAGAATGAGACTATCATTAAAAACTAAAGAAATCTGAACAACTTTTTAAATTAAAAAAATATAGTTCATTGTTTAACAGTCACTCAAAAGCTCTGGAACAAAATAATTAGAATGTTGCCACAACCACAGTCAGAGAACAATGCAGGAAATAGTCTCATTTCCAACCTCATCAATTTTATGAAGTAAATAGAAACAACAGCAGAAAAGAAATCACACTATATGAATAAAAATCTATCTGTTCTACTCAGAATGAAAAAGGCCATAGAACCTTGTAAGTGTCTTGGAGGATACCAGTCACTTACTTTACATTTAAAGTCTGCAGTGCCTATGCATTAAGCCAGTGTACCCTTAAGGTACTACACCTCAGCAGATAATCCCTCCCTCTCTAACTCATTGATTAATCCATCTACAGAGAGACTGGTCTGCCTGGTAACTCATGATCTAGTCCCAAAATGGAACTAACTGAATCACGGCTTCAACTTATGACAAAATATACCTCAGAGTAATCAGGACCTCCACAGTAACACAGACCAGGTCAGATGGCAGGGCTGGCTCCTAAAACAGACAAGACACTTTCCAGGAGAGTCTGGTGCTAGCCATCACCAATACTGATTTTTCACTTGCTCTAGTGCTTAATTTGATGCCAACCACCCTTCCAAAAGAACAAAAACTCAACAGTGACAGAGAGTTATTAAGTGTACCTAAGACTTAAAAAGAGATCAGGGCCAGGTGCAGCGGTTCACGCCTATAATTCTAGCACTTCGGGGTCTTTTTTGTTTTGTTTTCTTTTGTTTGAGACAGAGTCTTGCTCTGTTGCCCAGGCTAGAGTGTCCTGGTGTCAGCCTAGCTCACGGCAACCTCAAACTCCTAGGCTCAAGCGATCCTCCCGCCTCAGCCTCCTGAGTAGCTGGGACTACAGGCATGTGCCACCACACCCGGCTATTTTTTTCTCTTTTTAGTAGAGACAGGTCTTGCTCTTGCTCAGGCTGGTCTTAAAATTCTGACTTTAAGCGATGCTCGCACCTCAGCCTCCCAGAGTGCTAGGATTACAGGAGTGAGCCACCACGCCCAGCCAATCCTAGGATGTTGGGAGGCAGAGGTGGGAGGATTGCTTGAGGCCGGCAGTTTGGGACCAGCCTGAGCAAGAAGAGCAAGATCCTGTCTCTACAAAAACCAGAAAATTAGCCCAGCGTGATGGTGCACACCTGTGTTCCCAGCTACTGGGGAAGCTGAGGCAGGAGGATTGCTTGAGCCCAGGAGTTTGAGGTTGCTGTGAGCTAGGCTGACACCAGGGCACTCTAGCCCAGGCAACAGAGCAAGACCCTGTCTATAGAAAGAAAAAAAAAGAAATCAGGAGTATGACTGAAGAACAGGAAGCGGGGGGAGGGAGGGAAGAGATAGACATTAGGGATTTTTTAGCAAATGATGCTAAAACAACTGGACAGCCACATGGGGAAAAAAACTGAACTTCAAAATTCCCTCTGAAAAATTCAAGATGGAACTAAGACCTGTATGTGAAACCCAGAACCACAAGCTTCTAAAAGAAACCAGAGGACTAACATCTTTGTGCCATGCAGTATATGCAAACATTTCCTAAATAAGAGACAAAAAGTATTAATCATAAGAAAAAAAAACAGTAAGTTTAATATTTTCTTTATATGCAAAGATATTTCTAGCAAAATGAATAGGGAAACTTCAAACTGAGAAAAAATATTTATAGTACATATATCCGACACAGGATTTGCAAGAAAAATATATAAAGCACTCCTTTAAAAAATTTAACCATAAAATGACAAAGCCTATTCAAAAATAAGTATATTTCAACAGTGACTTCACAAAGACATAGGAATGGCCAGGAAACACATACTATAAACATATCACTAATCATAAGAGAAATAAAAATTAAAACCATGAGGTATGATTTCACATCCACCAGAAAACCTGGACTTAAAATGACTGACAAAATGTTAGTAAAGACGTGGAACAACTGGAACATATATTGCTGGTGGAGTATAAAGTGGCACAAGCATTTTGGAGTACTATTTGGCAGTTAATTGAAAACTTAAACATACGTGAACCAGCAATTCCATTCCTAAGGATTTATACCAAGAGAAATAAAAATATGTCTTATGCTATGGGGCTCTGAACTCCTATAAAGTTTGTGTGTTAGAAACTTAATCCCCAAACCACCAGTGCTGAGAGGTGGGACTTTTAAGAGGTGATTAGGTCATGAGGGCTTTACCCTCACAAATGGATTAATGCCATTATTGCAGGAGTGGGTTCCAGATAAAAAAGGATGAGTTTGGTCCTCTTCCCTCTCTCAAGAGCGTGCTTTCTTCCCCCTTCACCTTCTGCCATGGGACTGACAAAGCAAGAAGGCCCTCACCAGATAAGGGCCCCTTAACCTTGGACTTCCAAAGCTCCAGAAATGTGAGCAAAATAAACTTCTATCGTTTATAAATTACCCAGTCTGTGGTATCGTTATAGCAGCATTAAATACACTAAGACAATGCCCACCACGAGACTTGGAAAAAAATACACCAGCCTTCTGATTAATAGCCCTAAAATGAAAAAGACCCAAATGTGCACCAATAGGAGAATGGAAAAGAAAATTGTGATAAAAATTATACAATAGTAAAACTCCTTTGCAGTGAAGAGGAATGAATGACATCACTGTAGGTGTATCTCAAAAATATGTGTTGTACAAAAAAGGCAAGAATAAAACAAATCACAACAATATTGATGTCTAAGAATAAGAAAAATTAATCTATGGTAACAGAAGAAAGCATTGCCTCTGCACAAGAATAGGGACTGAAAAGAGGCACAAAAAGAACCTTCTGGGGTGATGACTGTAAATTGTACCTGGTTTGGGTGGTAGCACCATGGTATATATAATTGTCTAAAGCCATCAAACAGAACAATTAAAATCTATGCAGGCTTGGCACGGTGGCTCATACCTGTAATCCCAGCACTCTCGGAGGCCGAGGTGGCAGGATCCCTTGAGCTCAGGAGTTCAAGACCAGACTGAGCAAGAGCGAGACCCCATCTCTACCAAAAATAGAAAAATTAGCTGGACGTGGTGGTACGTGCCTATAGTCCCAGCTACTCAGGAGGCTGAGGCAGGAGGATAGCTTAAGCCCAGGAGTTTGATGTTGCTGTGAGCTAGGCTGATGCCACGGCACTCTACTCAGGGCAACAGAGTGAGATTCAAAAAAAAAGACACACAAAACAAAGACCTATGCATTTTATTGGTGTAAATTATATCTCATTAAAAAAAAAAAGGAAAGTTCCATTGCCCCAAAGTTCTAAAAAAATAAAAGAAAAGTCTAAGATTTGTTTGCCTATATAAATTAAAACTAAGTACATAAATTAAATGACCCTTTTTATCCCCTTAGGAAAAATATTACCCCACAAACACAACAGGTCACATTTTTTATTAGAAACCTGCATTTGACAGAGAAAGGTTATACAAATGAACACAATTTTTAAAGTAATTTAGTTTCAAAACCATTGAAGATTAACCTTATTTCTTTAACTCATTCACTTAAATGGTTTCAATTCCTTCTTTGAAATTTGTCATCTCCTCATCTCCAGGAATAATACGACAGCCTCCCATGACTCACCTTGTAAAACACTATTAAGTTTGTCATCTGATTGCCCAGTGTCACTTCTATCTTCAAGAACAGTCAACTGAATCCTGGTTTTCCTTGCCTATTCCATCTACCTCTTCCAACAATCTTGCAAACTGGCTAAGGTTTGAATAAGACAGAACAAAAAGGGAAAGTGCTACAGAAGAAAATTATCACAGGCTCATTAAGAGCATATGGTTCATTGAGAGAATGGTTGAGCTGAAGAGATGAGATTGTCACTGAAGGTTATGCAAACTGCAAAGAAAGTTCAGAGGGCAGGAGATAAGCCTAAGAAGTCTATGTCATAAGGCTGTTTTGAGAAAAATAAAAGAATTAAAAGGTATGCTGTTCCTAAAAAATGAGTTGTAAAGCACAAATACATTAAATTTTATAATTATACTAAACTAAATGGGTGAGTGTCTAACAAAACTAAAAACTACAGGCCTTAAAATAGGATTAGCAAGGACAGAAGTTTGCTATTGTTAAGTACGGACAGAAGCCCCAAAACTCAAATTATTTATGATTTAATTATAATTTATTTTTTTCTGTAAAGAAAAATATTTTGAAAAGGAAATCTGTACATTCTACAACTGAATTTCTGACATTTACCCCGAGTTACTCTTCACACATAAAGGGATCAGGATGTTTTCTATGGAATCAGTATCTAGCCATTCTCCATACAGAATTAGAAAATAATTTCCTATTTCTATACACTGTTTAATGATGCTTTTCTGGCTACTAAAAACAAACTCTGTAAACTCAGAAACTTAAGTTCACATAATTCTGCCTAGATTACAGACCTGGTTCTTTTCTGAGCCATTACAAAGATGGAAAAATACGGTAAGTGTAGGCTAATGACTTTAGAGGCAGAAGTGAAGCAGAAGTTAGGTAAGAGGTTTTAAGCTCAAAAAAGGAATTATGACAAAAACTTTATGCAATCTTAAAAGCTTTCTAAAACTTTCACTTAAAAAGAAAACCTGAAACCACTTTATACACATTGCCACATAACTACAAAACAGCCATTTAATAGAGGATCTCTTAGATCATGTATGCTTGCCAACATTGTAATTTTTCTATGTGCATGTACACTGATGTTATAAATATTACTTTAAAAAGGTTGTTTTTAAAAACCCTTATATTTCCTGGGTTGAACTCATTATTTTAGAATTGACAAACATAACATACCTTTTTAGAAAGGCCAAGGTCACCCTTCTTGGGCATAAATCCAGGATCTAAATCGTTGGATTCAAGAAGTTTCTTAGTTGGTTTTCTTTGACGCTTACTTTCATAATTTCCTGAAATGCATGTATTTTTACATTAGATGATTAAGAAACTGGGCAAAGGTAATTTTTAAAAAATCTATATACCACACCAAATGAGTCACAAAATATTCTTGACATTTTCCTCTTCATCTTATGGGGAGAGGCAGAATAGTATTTTATTTATTCTAAAATAAAACAAGCTCTGGGAGGCCGAGGCGGGTGGATCGCTCAAGGTCAGGAGTTCGAGACTAGCCTGAGCAAGAGTGAGGCCCCTTCTCTACTAAAAAATAGAAAGAAATGATCTGGACAACTAAAAATATATATATAGAAAAAATTAGCCGGGCATGGTAGCTCATGCCTGTAATCCCAGCTACTCGGGAGGCTGAGGCAGAAGGATCACTTAAGCCCAGGAGTTTGAGGTTGCTGTGAGCTAGGCTGACGTCACGGCACTCACTCTAGCCCAGGCAACAGAGTGAGACTCTGTCTCAAAAAAAAATAAAAATAAAATAAAATAATCATTTCGATGCAGATACAAACTAATATGAGGATGTCAGTGTGTGTGTATGTTTCTTTGTTTATTTATTTAATTTATTTGAGACAGGGTCTTGCTCTATCGCCCAAGCTGGTGTGCAGTGTTGCAATCACAGCTCACTGCAACCTCAAACTCCTGGACTAAAACAATCCTCAAGAGATCTTCCAACCTCAGCCTCTCGAGCAGCTAGGACTACAGGTATGCTCCACTCCTCACCACCCCCCATTTGTAAAATTTTTTGTAAAAATAGGATCTCTATGTTCTTCAGGCTATTCTTAAATTCCTGGCCTCAAGAGATCCTCCTGCCTCAGCTTCCCAAACTGCTGGGGTTACAGGTGTGAGCCACCATCTGGCCGTGTTTGTGTATTTTAAATTACAAAATAACTAATGGAGAAGTCAAAAGGGCAAAACACCTTTTATTGCAATTAATAAATGATAAAGACAAAGTAAGGAGAAGTGAAGACTGGATTCTGGGTATAAATGAACCAGGATTACAATTTTTGCTCTGCTCCTCTGTAAATAGAAGTTGAATAAATAAAGAATACTTATTTACTTTATTTACTTAATTACTTTATAGGACTGCTCTTAAGAATTATATGAAAGAGTCTAATAACATGGTTTGGCTCATAATTGAGCCAAACAGTAAATATATTTAGTGTCCTTTTAAAAATCTTTTTGGAATTTTTTTGTCCCCTTCCTTTGACTCTCCCTTTGCTACGATAATAGGTCCAGTTGTCATCTGTGGCATATGTATCACGCTCTGTAAACCTGTACCTTGCTCTATAATCCTCTTTCTCTCTTCAATAAACTTCATTTTTGTGCTTGCCAAAAAAAAAAAAAAAGTCTTTTTGATTCTCCCTTACTTGATTAAGCATAATTGGGATCTTTTCTTTTTTTTTTTAACAGAAGGAATAACATCACAAACTGCTGTTCAGAATGTAAAGAAGTTATATCCAAAATTTAAAGGGGTACAGAAGAGAAGGAGTCTTCCCATTCCTTGGCTGACTACAATATTCAATAGTAAAAAGGTGAATTAGAGACAATATGTCTAGACCCAACTCTCCCAAGGTGACATGTATGTTAAGAATGATAAAGGGAGGCCGGGCACGGTGGCTCACGCCTGTAATCCTAGCACTCTGGGAGGCCGAGGCGGGCGGACCGTTTGAGCTCAGGAGTTCGAGACCAGCCTGAGCAAGAGCGAGACCTCGTCTCTACTAAAAATAGAAAGAAATTAATCGGACAACTAAAAATACATAGAAAAAATTAGCCGGGCATGGTGGCACATGCCTGTAGTCCCAGCTACCCGGGAGGCTGAGGCAGGAGGATCGCTTGAGCCCAGGAGTTTGAGGTTGCTGGGAGCTAGGCTGATGCCACATCACTCTAGCCCAGGCAACAGAGTGAGACTCTGTCTCAAAAAAAAAAAAGTAACTGTGCCACAATCTTGCACACTTAACAATGGTTAAAAATGTCCAGCGTGGTGCCTTCCATAGTCAAAAAGAGAAAGAAGGAAAAACGTAAAAAAAAAAAAAAAAAAAAGGTAACATTTGTTATACTTATTTTTCCACAGTTAAGAACAGAAGAAACTACAGCTAAGATACACTGAAGCTATAAAAATTCATAAGTGTGAGCACGAGCAGCTCGAGGAAAAAAAAAAATTTGTAAGTACACGAAAATAGTCTAA